AGGGGAGGGATGGTGGGGGGTGGGGAGCTGCGGAGAGATAGCAAGGGGAGAAATGCCAGATGTAGGTGATGGGGAGGAAGGCAGCAAATCACACTGCCACGTGTGTACATATGCAGCAATTTTGCATGTTCTTCACATGTACCCCAAAATCTAAAATGCAATAAAATAAATAAATGGGAAAAATATATATATATTCATCTCTTCACCTGGTTTCACCTGACCTTTAAATCGTTACTGATAAAACTCCATTTTCACACCAACCCTTCACACTTCCATTCTCTCTGAGGGTGCAGTGAGGCATGATAAGCTTTGGAGCAGGAGATGGAGTGGGTGATCATGGATTTAGCAGCTTCTTTGGGATGGTAGAGTATAATATCCAGTTTTAAGCATCAGGCTGGGGAACTTTTGCTGGGAGGTGCCCCCTGTATCAAAGAGGCTTGGACCTAAGATTTATCTGTGCCTCAGCCAGCAACAATGCCAGATTCAGTGGATCAGTCACAAAGAACAGGCTCTCAGTCTCTCCTCTGTCTCTTGAATCTTTCACCAATGGATGCTTTTGTTTCCCAACCGTCATAGATATGCCTCAGACTGGTATTTTCTTGCCCTTTTAAAACAGACCAAAAAAATATGCTCAAAGAATGACGTGCATTAGAAAGGCAATTCAAGCACAGTAATATTATCAGGGTAAGATAAGTTTGGACAGGGAATCTGAGGTGTTAGTCTCACAATACTAGGCATTGATCTTGTGAGTTTTTGGCTCCCAAAATGATAATAACATGATTTAGGATTGGGAGCATCTTAAATGATCAAATCATTTTAATAAATTACACAGCAAGTTTTCTGTTAAGCTAGAAATGCAAAGTCAGAGCAATATAAACTCCTTTATTTATTTATTTATTTATTTTGAACACTTCCATTTATTTATTTATTATTTATTTATTTTGAGACAGAGTCTCACTCTGTTGCCCAGGCTGGAGTGGAGTGGCACAACCTCAGCTCACTGCAACCTTTGCTGCCTGGGTTCAAGCAATTATCCTGCCTCGGCCTCCCAAGTATTGGGGACTACAGGCACATGCTACCACGCCTGACTAATTTTTTGTGTTTTTAGTAGAGATATGGTTTCACCATGTTATCCAGGATGGTGTCGATCTTCTGACCTCGTGATCTGCCTGCCTCGGCCTCATAAAGTGCTGGGAAAACTCCTTTATTTTAAAAAGACCTAAAATTATTTCTAGGCTTCCTGAAAATATTGCTTTATACAACTGGAGGTATAATTTTATAGATCTGTTATTGACTGATCATTGAATAATAAAAACTGGCTTTGTAGTACTATTATCAAGGACTATCTGTTTTACAAAAGATTAATGGTCAAATAGAATCAGGTAATTTTTTTTTAATTTAAACTATTTTTTTAAATCATTACTGATAAAACTGCATTTTTACATCAACCCTTCACACTTCTATTCTCTGTGAGGGTTCAGGGAGATACAATAGGCTTTGGAGCAGGAGGGGGAGTGGGTGATCATGGATTTAGCTGCTTCTTCAGGATGGCAGAATGTAACATCCAATATTAAGCATAAGGCTGGGGAAATTTTGCTGGGAGGTGCCCCTTGTATCAAAGAGGCTTGGACTACATGCTGGAGTGCTGTGGCACTATTACAGCTCACTGAAGCCTCAGCCTCCAAGGTTCAAGTGCTCCTTTCACCTCCGCCTCACAAGTAACTGGGATTACAGACATGTGCAACTGTGCCCAGTTAGTTCTTATATTTTTTGTAGGGACGGGGTTTTGCTATGTTGCCCAGGCTGGTCTTGAACTCCTGGGAGCAAATGATGCTCCCTCCTCACCTTCCCAAAGTGCTGGGATTACAGGCATGAGCCACCACACCCAGCTGAAGTAGGTAATTTTTAAAAAGAATTTATGGAAAATACCCCTTTTAAAATAACAAATAGAAAAAAAATCTTAGTACAAGATGCTTATCACAGTATTGCTTTTTAATAATAAAAAAATTGGAAAACAACATAATCTATAATAATAGCAGCTAATATGTGTTGAGTGTTTAGTATGTGCCAGGCACTGTCGTAAGTGCTTTACATGGATTACACTACTATTTTACAGCTGAGGAAGCAGAAGTGCAGAGTAAATTTTGGTATGGTAGAATGAAATACCAAAGGGCCATTAGAAGTTTTTGTGTAGATCTTTCTTTAGGACCACTGAAAATATACTTTTTTTTTTTTTTTTTAAGACAAGAGTCTCACTCTGTCACCCAGACTGGAGTGCAGTGATGTGATCTCAGTTCCTCGGCTCACTGCAACCTCAGCCTCCTGGGTTCAAATGATTCTCCTGCCTCAGCCTCCTGAGTAGCTGGGATTACAGGTGCCCGCCACCACAACTGGCTAATTTTTATATTTTCAGTAGAAACAGGTTTTCACTGTGTTGGCCAGGCTGGTCTCAAACTCCTACCCTCAGGTAATCCTTCCACCTCGGCCTCCCAAAGTGCTGGAATTACAGGTGTGAGCCACCATGCCCAGCCAAAAAATAAACTTTTACATTAAGTTTTTTTTTTTTTTAACTGATTTTAGAACAGTATGATTCCATTTATGTAAAACTATATACTGTAAAATAAAATTTATAGGATGCCAGTGCAGTGGCTCATTCCTGTAATCCCAGCACTTTGGGAGGCCAAGGCAGAAGGATTGCACAAGGCCAGGAGTTTGAGGCTAGCCTGGGCAACATAGTGAGACCTTGTCTCTACAAAAAATTTAAATAAAAAACAGATTTAAAAATACATAAAATGTATAGACCATTGGTTTATTTACTTATTTATTTGAGACAGGGTCTTGCTCTGTTGCCCAAGTTGGAGTGCAGTGGCACAACCACAGCTCACTGCAGCCTCAACTTCATGGGACCCACCTCAACCTGGCTAATTTTCTTTTTTTTTTAATTTTGTAGAGACAGGCTCTCCCTATGTTGCCCAGGTTGATCTCAAACTGCTTGGCTCAAAGCAATCCTCCCTCTTCGACATCAGGAAGTGTTGGGATTATAATTGTGAGCCACAGTGCCCGCCAAGACCACTGGTTTCAGCTGAGCTGCACTAGCCCCAGCAGATGAAACCAAAATGGAGTTACTCACGCTGATGTTCCATGATGCCACCAAGCCAGAACCAAGATCTGTATCTGATCTTTGAAAAGCTCAGGAGATAGATAATCACCAAATCCCCAGACAGGCCACTTTTAACCAGCATGATAAGGAAGTGCCCTCTGCTTTACCTTTATAAGGAAAGTAACTTTGAAATGACCAATCTGCTTTTTGTTTTCTGTTTCTGCTTTCCTCAGCTCTTTCCATTAACAAAGCCACCTCCTCTGCTCAGTTTATTGGATTTTATAGAATGAGGTGTTGTCCTATTTGGAACCACAAATAAAAGCCAATTAAGATCTTTATCTAAATTTGTTGTAATTTTGTATTTTGACAGTTTATATGTTTTTTAAATAGCAATATCCAGAAAGATGTTTATTAAGATGGTAAGTGCTTGAATAGTTTCTCTTTTTGTATTTTTCTATATGATTTGAATTCTTAAAGTGAACATCTACCAATTTAATAGAAGTAAAAACATTTTTAAAGAAAAAATAACATTTAAATTTTTCAGCTTCCATTTAAAAAAAAATAATTTTTATTAATTTTATCAGCAAATGAAATGGAAACATAAGTAAATAAAACAACTTGCAATGTTAAAATAAAAGTGACCAGGCATGGTGGTTCACACTTGTAATACCAGCACTTTGGGAGGCCAAGGTGGGCAGATCACTTGAGGTCAGGAGTTCAAGAACAGCCTGGCAAAATGGTGAAACCCCATCTGTACTAAAAATAAAAAAAAAAATTAGCCGGGCATGGTGCTGTATGTCTGTAATCCCAGCTACTTGGAAGGCTGAGGTGGGAGAATAGCTTGAACCTGGGAGGCAGAGGTTGCAGTGAGCCAACATTGTGCCCCTGCCCTCAAGCTTGAATGATAGTCTCAAATAAATAAATAAGAAATATTGACTGTTTTCCAAATGTCTTGAATTTATTAAAGTTATTACTTCACTGCCATTTAAAAATTATTTCTCTGATTATTTTAGTCCCTTGATATTCCTAAAACAACTTTATTTCTGTTTTGTATTGTTTTTTTGAGACGGAGCCTTGCTGTGTCTCCTAGGCTGGAGCGCAGTGGCACAATCTCAGCTCACTGCAACCTCCACTGCCCAGGTTCAAGTGATTCTTTTGCCTCAGCCTCCTGAGTAGCTGAGATTACAGTTGTGCACCACCATACCCAGCTAATTTTTGTATTTTTAGTAGAGATGAGGTTTCACCATATTGCCCAGGTTTGTCTCAAACTCCTAAACTCTAGTGATCTGCCTGCCTCAGCCTCCCAAAGTGCTGGCATTACAGGTGTGAGCCACCATGCCTGGCCTATTGCTGTTCTTTAACAAGCAAAACTGAAGTATCTTCCATTCGTCAAATCTTATGGGGTGATATAAATGAAACAAAAGTAGTACATGGTCTTAAAATCGCTCTATTTAACTCAAGTTGAGCATTCTTGTTTAGGTAAAACTTCCATTTGTTTCAGTCTCTATCTGTATCAGTGTTTTCCAGACATCTTAAGAAATCACCTGTGACTCTTGTAAAAATAAGGGTCTTAAATAAGACTTTTAAAGTACAAATCACATTTGTGAACCCCTCTGCAGAGCAAAAGCACCCTATTGGAAAGAAATATAATGTATTGAGGGGTGCCGAGCCAGGAGCCACGCTGGGAGCCGAAGTGTCGGGGAAGCACCGAGCCGTTTGAGAACCCAACTTCGAGGAGGCAGGGTGGTGGGAGAGGCCATGTGAAGACACAGAGAGATGGCAGTCATCACCAACTTAAGGAGGAAGCCCTCACCAGACACCAGTCAGATTTCAGTGAAGTTCCTTATGACTTCCCCTGAAATTGCTTCCTTATCATGGGGGCAAATGAAAGTACAAGGCTCTAATACAACCTATAAGG